TCAGCTGATTTAAGAGGTGTTATCCACTGAGCTAGTCCTGCATACAGGGGGTTTGGATCTGCTCTGGGATTACAGAATGGGTGCGAGAATACCCTTTACCTGGCCATATCATGCCCCTGTTAGCCACCAGTAATGATCCTGTGGGCTGGAGTGGGGCAGGATGTGTATGTAATTCGGGAGGTAATCTACTGGTTCCTACCACCTCTCACTCTGGTCAAACAGGCCCACAGTCTCATATGATATAACCTGCAGACAACAAAAACTTGTATTTAGACAGTAAGTCCTCACTTAAAGTTATGGCTGCATTCCAGAAATTCACAACTTTAAGTGAAATGACTTGAAGTGAAATGACTTTAAATGAAACGTTGGTACCTGTAGGAACTAATATTAAAACCGAAGTTAGGTTCTGGAGGGCATCATTTCTCAGAAAAAAATCAAATATGAAAATATTTTACTCTCTGAGTTGACGTTGTTACAATGCTAAGCACCTACGTTTGGTTAATGAAATAAATTTTGAAGTGAAATAAGTCCAAAAATATGAAGAATATTGATACAGAAGAAAATGAGGTGGAGGAGGGGTAATAAATAAGTTTGCAGATAACACAAAGATTGATCGAATGGCTGGCAGTGAAGAGTTGAAGTTACAGGAGGATGTAGACAGATTGCTCAGATGGGTAGGTCAGTGGCAAATGGTGATTAACCCTGATAAATGTGAGGTGATGCATTTTGGAAAAAGTAACAAGACAAGAGAATATTCACTCAATGACAGGACACTAGGAAGCTCGGCGCAACAAAGGGATCTTGGGATGCTTGTCGACAGATCCCTGAAAGCGGCAGGACAGATTAATAGAGTAGTCATAGATTCATAGAGCAGGGAGGTAATGTTGGATCTATACAGAAATTTGGTGAGGCCACAGCTGGAGCAGTTCTGGTCTCTGCCCTATAGGAAGGATGTGTTTGCTCTGGGCAGGGTGTAAAGGAGATTCGCCAGGATGCTGCCTGGGACAGAGCAGTTTCATTGTGAACCAGAGGGTGTTGGAAATCCGGAATACACTGCCTGAGGTGGGAAACCTCACAACCTTTCAAAAGGATGTGGGTGGGCAGTTGAAATGTCATAACATTCAAGGCAATGGGCCAAGTGCTGGAAAGTGGGCCTTGTGCTGATTGAGAGCAGTACAGGGTGGTACGGGCCCAAGGGGCTGAATGGCCCCTTCTGTTACTGTGCGATTATGTGATTCTGTGAAAATTGTAAATGTGATACTTTGAGTGAGCTTCCTCTCTCCAGCATTGCTTCTTCCTGATCCCCTGCTCCCATTCCTCCAGGACACTGCCAATCGTCCAAACTCCTCACCTCTCTGCATCATGGCCAACCTTAACCCCTTCCACTCATTAATCACCATTCCCCTCTCCTGGTCTGGTGTTCCCGTTCCCATTCCATTTCCAGATTCACTCTGAAGTTAGAGTTCTGATGGTTCAGAATGGCTGTGGTTTATAATTTTGAAATGCTCCCCCTCACCCGAATGCTCTCCATGCGTCGGCCAAGGGTCTCTGAGAGAAACATTGAGGCCTGAGCAGCTCAGAAAACACACGGATTTTAAAAAGACCCCAGCATTTCTGAACCTAGGGATTTCTATTCCTGATGGGATCTGGATCTTTGTCAGGAGCACAAGTCCAGGAGAGGGTAAGTGGCACAGAGATGAGGCTGAGAAGTGGGGAAGGTTCCAAGTGACTTAGATAGACGCAGCATTAAATCAGAATAGTGACAGTCAAAGAGATTGCAGGCTCCATTCAATTTTTTGATTCAGTTATTGTCACATGTATCTTGTTGCAAAATACAGTGAAAAGTGTTGTATAGTGTCGCCACTCTCTGGCGCTATCTTAAAACACAGAAAAATAAACCAAAACATTAGAATAGAAAGGCAGAAAAATGAAGAAATAAGGAAAAAGTGGCCAACTTTACGGTCCTCCTTGTTAAGTGTTCTGTCGTGGGCCATGGGTCTGGTGGCCAGGCATGGTCCCCCTTCACTGCACCACCGCCGCTAGAACAAAAGTTGCCACTCTTGCCTGCCATCTCACCTCCACTGATGTTCTTGCTGCTATGAGTCCTCATTGGACCTCACCAATGCAGATACCACCGATGCTGCCGGCTCTTGTACTAGGCCCAAACTTACCTCCATTGCCACCTCCATGAATCTGCGCTGGCCACAAATGTTGGGGACTCAAACCTGTCTCTGATGCCATTGCCACAAGTTTGTTCTGCAGGGCCTACTCGAGTCCACTCTGCCGGGCCTACTCGAGTCCACTCTGCTGGGCCTACTCGAGTCCACTCTGCTGGGCCTACTCGAGTCCACTCTGCCAGGCCTACTCGAGTCCACTTTGCCGGGCCTACTCGAGTCCACTCTGCCGGGCCTACTCGAGTCCACTCTGCCGGGCCTACTCGAGTCCACGCTGTCGGGCCTACTCGAGTCCACGTTGCCGGGCCTACTCGAGTCCACGTTGCCGGGCCTACTCGAGCCCACTCTGCTGGGTCTACTCGAGTCCACGCTGCCGGGCCTACTTGAGCCCACTCTGCTGCGCCTACTCAAGTCCACGCTGTTGGGTCTACCCGAGTCCACTCTGCTGGGTCTACTCAAGTCCACTCTACTGGGCCTACTCGAGTCCACACTGCTGGGCCTACTCGAGTCCACACTGCTGGGCCTACTCAAGTCAACACTGCTGGGCCTACTCGAGTCCACACTGCTGGGCCTATTCGAGTCAACACTGCAGGGCCTACTCGAGTCTGCATTACTTGGACTATTCAAGTCAGTGCTGCTGGGCCTACACAAGTCTATGCTACCGGGCCTACTTGCTGCCATCATTGCAATCAAGCTCTTCACCAAGAGGTAAGTAATATAAAATAGGAGAGAAAGAAAATGAGAGTCTCGATAAAAAAGAAAATGAACGAAAGAAAAGCGGATGGAGCAGACGAGCCCTATTCCACCACCATCATTCCAGAAGGAGTATCCCAATGACTTTCCAGAGAAACAACATTAAACAGGAATACACACACACCCCTTCAGGTGTGAATGAGTTACCATGTGACTGTCACACTCACTGTGGGGTGTAGCGACTCTCAGTTATGATGCTGCCCATTCATAAAGACTGAGTGTTCCAGAGGCCATACTGGATAACCATTGACTCACTACATCACCTGACTGCCCAGTTACACAAAGTCATCAAGCACCACACTATCACTGAATTTGTAGGTTAGACGTTGTAATCTGGGCTGTATATTAGTTAGGTGGTTAAACAGCACAGAAAATTAGGATTGAATCTCATTGTTAGCGATAATGTAGAGGGAGCTTTGTCATGTATGTAACCCTGTGCAGTCCCTGTCCTGGGATGGGGACAGTATAGAGAGAGCTTTACTTTCAGTTTAAAAGAGTAGAGGAAGAAATGGAATGAGATGATCTGATATAAGAAAGGAGATTGAATTTAGAATATTTTGTTAATTCAGATTCTGTATGAACTAAATACACTCGGTACATTTTTTAAAGGATTCCACAGTAATCCATACTGAACCTGATAGTTATACAGAGAGAGGAGGAACAAGAGGGTTAGATGGGGAAAAGGGAAGGGGAAGGCAGAGGGATGAATTGGATGGAACTGGTGATTTGAGGTGGGGGGAGTGTGAAGACAAGGGACTGACAGTCACGTTGTACACCTGTTTGTTTCAGGGCCTGGCTCGGATCCCTGCTTCTGAATGTCACAGTGTTCAGATTCGTCGTACAGTCCCAGTTAATAGCTTCGGTGAGTCAAATCCCCTGGTTTACCCACAATTGGGAATTCTGTTGGAACTACTTAACAAAGTAGGGGGCGGAACACCTTCCTACTCCCTCCCAATTTCTCTGCTTCCTCTTCACCCCACTGCTCCTGACACAGGCTGGAATATCTCAACATCGCCCTGTCAGACAGGGCTGTAGTGAGTGTGCCGCTGAACTGTGGAAGGCATCATAACCTCACACTCTTCCACACACACACCCTGCACACCTGTGGCATTAGGTGAGGGCTGGGTCCCAACTGGCTGTGTTGCCTCCCACAGTTAAATACCCTGGCAGTGATGAAGCAGCATTCTGACATTAACACCAGCGGAGAGCAGATGACATGGAGTAACCTGGTCCTGAACTAGGTCCAGCCTCTAATTTTACGATCTTTATGAGTACAGTGATTGGAGAGGGGGTGTAGGGAGGACCAGGGGGTGGGGGGAGATTGACTGGTTGGGGGTGATGGGTCACAGAGAGCGATACCCTATCAATGACCAATCCCCAGTGAGTCGAATTCACCGTCTTGGCTGGGGCATCAACACATGCGGGAACAGAGACTATTCAACTGGGTGAGCCAGGACGAGACAGGAGGTCAATGTTATATTAAATGGTGAAGCTTCTAGAAATCTCAGTCCAAGGTTGCAAACCCACACTTCCTGTGTCAGTCAGTGTGCCAAATTAATGGCCTCTCCTCTCGTCTAACCAGGGTGCATGGCAGACTATTAGACTACAGTATACATCGCAGTCAAACCCTCACCCAGGCCTGGCTTCCAGTGCCACTTATCCCTTATACCCTGATCATCTCCCTCCCACCCTCCAGTTTCCACCCCGCCCCCCCCACACACCCTCCCCCTTACCCCCTCACTGAATCCAGTCAATAAGTGGTTTATAAGGATTGAGGGTTCAGACCCAGTGCCTGGCTCAGGATCGAGTCACTCCAGGTTCCATCCTTGCACTGACATGGTGGGCTGAATGGCCTCTCCTGTGCAGTAGAAATTCTCTGACTGAGCATGTGCTATCACCGTATCGCCCTGTATTCCCTACTAACCTCATTTCTGTACGCAGTGACCGCACACATTTAGAGTCTCAGGATGGGTATTCGGCTGCAGGAGGCATTACAGCCAGGCAGATGCTCTACCAGATGCGTACTGTCCAGCCAAACACACTGATTAAACTGATCATACACTAGGGAGGCCATTCAGCCCAGAGTGCTCTTATTGGCTCTTTGAAAGATCAGGTTTGTCCCCACACCTCTCCCTCACTTCACCCACTCCATCCAGGGAAATCCTGGAACCTGCTGGTGAATTTGCAGCTCGCACTGCTGTCATTTCATTTCCTTTCTGACTATTTCTCTCTCTCTCTCTCTCTCTCTCTGTCTCTCTCTCTCAAGCAGGATCGTCGCCGAATGGAGCTCACCTCTGGCAGTAAGTGGAGCCCGTGGCAGAGCTGGTCTCCGTGCTCCAGTACATGTGGAGGGGGCGTTGCCACCAGGGTCCGGAGATGTTTGATCAGGTACCAGCACCAGCCCCTCCACAATCCCTGACTCCCACACCCTTCATAATCCCTGATCCTCAGCCCCTCCATAAACCCCGACCCAACATCCTTCATAACTCCTGACCCTCAACATCCTTCACAATCCCTGACCCCATTCCCTTCATAACCCCAAACCCACCATCTTCATTACCCTTGACCCCCATCTCCTCCTTAACCACTTACCCTGACTCCATTCGTAACTCTTGTCACCCCACCCACTCCATAATCCCTGACCCCAGCCTATCCATAACCTCTGTCCTCACCAACCTAATAACCCCTGACCTCTACTCCATTCATAACTCCTGACCCCCAAATCTCTTAATAACACCTTACAAATCTCAGTCTGTGTATAACACATGGTCTTTATCACACACAGTATATAACACATGGGTATACAATACACAGGGTATAACACATGAGGTATATCACACACAGTGTATACTACACACAGGGTATAACACATGGGGTATATCACACATGGTATATAACAGCATTGTGGGTCTACCTACAGCACAGGGACTGCAGAGTTTCAAGAAAGCAGCTCACCACCACCTTCTCAAGGTCAATAAATGCTGACCCAGCCAGCAACACCCACATCCTGTGAACTAATGGAAAAATAAAACTTCTTTTTGAAAGCATTTCTGCATTTTGCCATAACCACTTCCTGTGGGAATGAGATCCACATTCTCACCATTCTCTCATTAGAGAACCTGGTCCTTATTTCCCGGTTGGATTTGTTTGAAATTCTCTTGTGTCTTTGACCCTCTATTGGACTTTCCCACAAACAGAGAGATTGCTTTCCACATTCATCCCAGCCAACCCATTCATCATTTTATAGAAGTCTATCAGATCTCCTTGCATTTTCTATTTTTCTGGAATATTGCTAACCTGCTCAATTGTTGCTGATAGCTGCAGTCTCTCTGTTCTGGATTGTCCTCATTTGCACTTTTCACAGTGTTTCTAAAAGATGGAGCCTTTGGAACAGTGCTCAGTTCTGAGAGAAACAGAAAATGCTGGAGAAATTCAGCAGGTCCGATACCAGCTATGGAGAGAGAAACAGTTAACATTTCAACACTGGTATGACTCAGTACTGAGAGGATAGCCTGACAGGGTCCTCTCCAAGGTTACTGCTTTTGATCTCTGTACATCAAGGAATATTGAATCCCAGCGTTGGGTTAGCATTCATCATTGCTTTGGTGCTGTTTTGCGTTGTTTCTACCTTGCCCATCTCTACGCTCCTCTCTCTTTGACAGTCCATCACTTCCCAATAACCAGTGATGCTCAGTCCGAAGGCAGGGCAATATGCAAAGGAAGAGACTGCTGTTCCATTTCAGGGAAAGCTGCAGGAAGCAAGTTCCAGGAGACTGCAGATCCCCATGTTGTCTCAAGACATTATCAGTGACCTCAGGTAGACCCTGTTTCTAGTAGCTCAGTGAGAGTTCATGTCCATCGCGCTTCACCCCTCAGCCTCTCAATGGGATCTTGGGCAAAATCTACATTGTGTATCAGGGAATGTGTGAGTGTGTGCATCTATGTGTTTGTGCCTGGATGTTTGCTTGTGTTTGTGTGTGCCTGGGTACGTGGGTTTGATTGTGCCTGTGCATGTTTTTGTATGGATGTGAATGTGAGAGTGTGTGTCTGCACATGTAGTTGCATGTTTGTGTGTAAGTGTGTGTGTGTATGTGTCTGTGTATCTGTGAGCGTGTGTCTGTGTATGCGTGTGTGCATGTCAGTGTGTGTGTCTGTATGTTTCTGTGTATGAGTGTGTCTGTGTGTTACTGTTTTTAAATTTGCATGTGTTTGTCTGTGTCTGTGTTTGTGTGTGTGCGTGTGCTTGTGTGTGTGAGACTGTGTTTGTGAGAGTGTGTGTGTGAGTTTGAGTTTTTGTGTCTGTTTGTCTGTCTATGTGTCTGTGTTTGTATGTTTCTGTTTGTGAGAGTGTGTGTGAGTGTGAGTTTATGTTTTTGTGCTTGTGTGAGTGTGTGTATCTGTGTTTGTGTGTGCATGAGAGAGTGTGAGTGTGTGTTTTTGTGTCTGTGTGTGTGTGAAAGAGAGAGTGTGTGTGTGTGAGAGCGTGTGTGTGTTAGTATGAGAGTGTAAGGTTGTGTTTTTGTTCTCATGTGTGTCTGAGAGTGTGTTTGTTTGTATGTCTGAGAGTGTGTGAGTGTGAGTATATGTGTGTACGTGTGTGTGTGCATGTGTGTGTGTGCAGGGGTGTATGTGTCTGAGTGTGTGTGTGTGAATATGTGTGTGTGTATGTGTGTGTGAGATAGAGAGAGTGTGTGTGTGAGTAAGTGAGTGTGTGTGTGAGTGAGTGCGTATATGTGTGTGTGTGTGCATATGTGTGTATGTGTATGTGAATGCTTGTATGTATGTGTTTGTGAGTGTGTGTGTATGAGAGAGTGTGTATATGTGTGAGTGTGAGTATCTGTGCCTGTGTGCGTGCGTGCATGTCTGTGTGTGTACATGTGTGTCTGTACATGTGTGCGTGCATGTGTGTGTGTATGGGTGTGTGAGTGTGGGTATCTGTGCTTGTGTGTGTGCGCATATGTGTGTGTATGGGTATGTGTGTCTGTGTGTGTGCATTTGTGTCTATGTGTGTGTGCTTGTGTGCGTGTGTGTATTTGTGAGTGTATGTGTGTGTGATTAGGTGTGTGTGTCTGCACCTGTGTGTGTAGGTGTGTGTCTGTGTGTGTGTGTGTGTGCATGTGTGGGCGTGCATGTGCGTATGGGTGTGCTTGCATGCATGTGTGTGTGATTGTGAGTGTCTATGTGTGTGATTGTGAGTGTGTGTGTATGTGTGTGTGAGTGAGAGTATCTGTGCCTGTGTGTGTGAGTCTCTACCTGGATGTGTGCGTCTGTATGGGCGTGTGTGTGTGTATGTGTGTGTGTCTGTTGGTACGAGTGTGTCTGCATGTGTGTGTATGTGGGTGTGCGTGTATGTGTGAGTGAGTTTGTGGGGGGGTGTGTGTGTGTGTGTGTCTGCACATGTGTGTCTGTGTGTGCGCATCTGCCTGTGGTTGCATGTGTGTGACTGTGTGTGTGTGTGTGTGTGTGTGTGTGTGTGTGTCTGTGTGTGTGTGTGTGTGTCTGTGTGTGTGTGAGACTAAATGTTCTCTGTTCTTCAGTCACAGACATCCCTTTGGAAAGCCCTGTCCAGGGAACCAGAGACAGTACAAGGTGTGTGCTGCTGAGGTAAGATCATCCAAAAACATTGTGGAAAGTTATAGCAACATCCTCCATTCCAGTCTACAGAGCCCTTTTCTCATGACGTACATGGCACTGAGCTTTTCTGTGTATGAGGATATGGCCTGTTACTGGGGTTATATCGGGCCTGTTACTAGGGTTATATTGGGCCTGTTGCTGAGGTTATATTGGGCCTGTTACTGGGGTTATATCGAGCCTGTTACTGGGGTTATGTTGGGCCTGTTGCTGAAGTTATATCGGGCCTGTTACTGGGGTTATATCAGGCCTGTTGCTGGGTTATATCGGGCCTGTTGCTGGGTTATATCGGGCCTGTTACTGGGTTATATTGGGCCTGTTATTGGGGTTATATCAGGCCAGTTACAGGGGTAATATGGACCCTGTTACTGAGGTTATATCGGGCTTGTTATTGGGGTTATATCGGGCCTGTTGATGGGGTAATATCAGGCCTTTGCTGTGTTTCTGAGGCTGTCACTGTCTCTCCTCAGGACTGTCCCCCGGGCACAATGGATTTCCGAGAGCTTCAATGTGCAGCCTACAATGGACACCGGCTCTCCCAGATCCAAGGGGCTGTCTTTGAGTGGATTCCATTCTATGGAGGTGAGTGATTTCCCATTCTTGCAGATTTTGATTCCCTCCCGAAGACCATCCCCAGGGAATGACTGTCCTTGCTTACCCACCAGGAGCGTCTGGCCTGTGTACAGCTGTCAGCTGTGCAACTGTGGAAGACTTTGTGCTGGATAAAGAACTCAGCAAGAACTCAGCATCACACTGGATAGTTCACGTAGTCACATTAAACAATCCAATGTGTGCTGGGGATATTTAATAAATATGTCATTTGAACATTAAGATAATAAATTTTGTACAGAAGGTAAAACATTAAAAGTTGCATTTGTATAGCACTTTTCACAACCCCAGGATGTCTGAAAGCATTTCGCAGCCAATGAGATGCCTTAAAAGTGTCGACTAATGAGTATGATTACTGGTGAGTCTGTAGCTGACTGAGCCCAATCCTAGAGCCCCATCTCCGTCCGTGGCTTTGGAAGGTGTCTCTGGGAGGGGGAGTTGGTCCTTAGCCTTGAGATTTAAAATGTAGCCACAGTTGGAAATTTGGAAACACAGCAGCTAACATGTACACAGCAAGATCCCACGAATGGCAATGTGATCATCGGTTTTGATGACATTGGTTGTGGGATAACGATTGGCCAGGACACAGCCATTGGTTTTCTTTGAATTATCGCCATGGGATCCTTCCCAGGCAGCTAGGAGGATACCTACTTAATGTCTCATTGTAAAGACTGTGTCTCCGAATGGGCACTGGGCACTGGGCACCAATGGCCTAGTTTTGCCTCGAGTTTCTGTAGTCTGCCTGTGATTGTTGGGTGCACCACTGGACTACAATACCTGATCTTTATCGTTAGATGGTTGTGTGTTCAAATCCCAGTCTGGAGCACTATTTCCAGGCTGACTCTCCCAGGGAGTGCTGCTCTCTCAGAGGAGCTGTCTTTTGAACAAGACATTAAAGTGAAATCTCTCAGATTGATGTGATAGGTCCCATAGCCATTATTGGGAGATGGCTCCTTCCTTCAACCAACATCACTCAGAGAAAATTCACTAATGCGTTTGTTTGGGTAATGTTTGGTGGGGGGGGGCTTCAGCTGTATAGGAACAGAACCTGCGATTCAGATAATGTGATTATATTAATATTCACGATATTTCAATGTGATAATATCATTTCTGTCTCTCCAACATACAATCACCTGATCACCCAGCAATAGTCCACAGAGGCTATAGTACAGGAGAGAGAGAGTACACTGGCCCACACAGAACTCATAGTCAGGGCTTGCCCAGTATTTGGAAACCAGTGGGTTGTGCTGGAAAACCTCTCCGCTTAATAGCTCACTTTGTGTGTGTGTGTGTGTGTGTGTGTGTGTGTGTGTGTGTGGGT